TATATAAAATATTCTAAGAGTAGAATTTATTTATATATATAGAATAGAACTCTTCTACCCGGGCCTAGAGAGTAGATAGTATAGTATTCTAGATATATTATTAGTTTATTAGTTTAGTAGTATTTATATAGCTTCTAAATAGCTATTATTATAGTATCTATCTCTTCTAGAAGTATAGTCTAGTTCTCTTATTTATATTATATATTTATCTATCTAATAATACGTATATCTTAGCTTCTTATTAGATACTAGAGAATACTTAAGTCTATATCCTAGTAGTATTAAGGTATAACTATCTCTATATAGTAGCTATCTTAAGAATATTCTAGGGTCAACCTATCTTTCTCTATATAGTATACTATTATATATTATTCTTACCCTTTTATAGATTAGTTAGTATAGTTATAGATAAGGTTAGAGTAGATAGTAGAGGCCTTATAGTCTAGTATATCTACTACGCTTCTCTTATCTTTATAGTATTAATATACTTAGTAACTTATTTATATTTTATATATATTACTAACTATAATAGATAGTTTCTATTATAGTTAGAGTACTTAGTAGTATCTTTATTATATATATACTTACTCTAGACTTTATATAGATATTTTTAGATACTATAGTTCTATTAGTACTATCTATAGATAGTCTTCTAAGAGTATCTCTATTTAGTATATCTATATCTCTAATAGTGAAAGTATTAGATTATTATCTATACTCTATTCTATAGTTCTATTATAAATAGCTCTCTCTTAGCTAAGAAGTCTTCTTATATAATCTAATAGATAATAATAGAGTCTTAGAGCTCTACTATTATAATAGAGTATTTTTTTAATTTTATCTTAATTCTCTATATATTCTTCTAGTATATTTATATAATCTTAATTCTAGAGTACTTCTAGTTATTAGATTACTCTATTTACTTAATATTATTAGTACTAATAATATATCTCTAGATAGAGACTATATATATCTATATTAGATATATATTAGTATAAATAGATATACTAGAGAAGATATTATTAATTATATTTAGATTATAGAAGATAGTCTACTAGACTATATTAGTAGTAGTAGTTAGTACTATATCTTCTAGAGTAAGTTTAGCTATAACTATATTTAACTATATCTCTTTTTATTTATTAATCTTATTAATAATATTCTTTAGAGATATCTTCTAGATCTATATAAGAACTTTCTTATTCTAGATAATAATCTATATATTATATATTTCTTCTATAGATATTCTTAGTATTTAAGTTATTCTAGCTATACTATCTAATAGTACTATAACTTATATCTAAGTAGCTAGGTATTTTTTCTAGGTAAGACCTTCCTAGATTCTTAGTAGACTAGCCTTAATCTAGTCTAATCTAGATTCTAGACTTACTTCTAGTATTTATTTTACTTCTATAATAAGCTTCTTAATATTCTAGACTAGACTTTAGAAGATATTAAGAAGGGTAGTCTCTTCTTTCTTAATTTTTCTCTCTATATATACTATCTAGTAGTTAATTTTATCTAGAAGAGTATCTCTAGCTAGAGTCTCTTTCTTTTTCTTTATCTATAGTATTCTATACTCTTAGTTATTTATTATCTTTTAGATAGGGGTTTTACTATTCTAGAATATTCTACTATATAGCTATTTCTACTATACTAGTATTAGAGATATATCTAGCGGAAGCTAGGGTATATTAGTATCTAAGGCCTCTATAGTTATTAGTTAAGGGCTATTCTTAACTTATAAAAGGGGGTTAGTATATTACTATTTAGTAGTAGTAGTCTATACTTATATCTTTAAAGAGTTTTTAAGTATATATATATATAGTATCTCTATATAATAGTATTATTATATTCTATATACTATATATATATATATATATATTAGAGGTTATTATACTCGGTATACTCTATTAATTAATATATATAGATTACTATATTACCCTAAGTTAACTAGTTTAGTCTCTTAGTATATAAAGAAGTTTTTCTTAGTAAATATATTCTAGTTATAGATATTCTTAGAATATTTAATCTAGTATAGTATCTAATATTCTAAAGGTATTAGATTAAGATAGTTTTAAGTAAATCTAATTTTATTACTATTATTTATAAATAGATAAAAGAATTAGCTATATTAGTAAGTCTATATATAGAAACTCTTTCTACTTTTACTATTAAAGTAAGGTAGTTTCTTAGATTAAGATAATTAAGATAGTAATAGACTAGAATAGACTATTTTAGTTAGTATAGATCTATATAGATATAAATTAGTTATTATTAGAACTAAAGTATATAATATAGCTTTAGATCTAATAGTATATTCTTAAGCTTTATTAAGTTTATATAGATATTACTTAAGTTAAGTCTAATATTATCTCTCTTTATATAGTTTAGTATATATATTATTATAGAATATAGTTAATATTAGATAGTTCTACTAAATTAACTTATTAATATTAATAGGGTCTAGTCTTATACTAAGATAGAGTCTATTATAGTTTAAACTAGACTAAGATAAAGTATAGTAGACTCTATCTTTATAATCTATAATATCTTCTAGAGTTATATAGAGTATTATATAAGATACTAGTATAATAGTCTATAGAGTATATCTATTAGTAGAGATAGTTATAGATATACTATTCTCTTTATTTAGATTAGAAGAAGGTCTACTATAAGAGATAGTACTATAAGTATTATAGTAAGTAGTAGAAGCTATCTCTATAAGCTACTATTATACTATATAAGAGAGAAATTAAAATATAAGAATTATAGATATAGAATAGTAGTCTAATAGATTATAGAGAAATTTATAAGTATAATTAAGAATAGTCTACTCTTATAATATTATTAATTTCTAAGGAGTAGAAATTAGATTTATATAGTCTACTTATATAGTAGTCTTACTTAATCTAGCTAACTTAACCTAGGTCTATTAGTTATAAGACTATATTAGACTATAGTAGTTTAGTTAAGTCTATCTTAGTATCTATTCTAATACTTTAGCTTTATTTTATTTTAAGTATTATATAATAGAGCTAGAATAGATAGAACTAGTATAGGGATATTATATAATCTTACTTAAAACTATACTTATACTATTATTTATATAGGTCTTTCTCTACTTCTTAAGTTAAATTATAATATATCTTAATTACTATTATAGTAATACCTTAGTTATATCTATTATAATATTAGTAATCTACTAATAAGATAATAAGATTATCTAAAAGAAACTATAAAATATATAATATAAATAGAGAAGTCCTTAGCTACTAATATTAGTCTTATAGTAGATTACCTAAGATAAGATATTTATAAGAATATAAAGCTAAGACTAGCTAAGTTCTATATATAAGACTATTAAGAATAATAGCTATCTTTTTTAAACTAGATACTATATTAAATATAGAATTAATATAGATAGTAGTAACTAACTAGTTAGTATATTTATATAACTAACTATATTAGTAGATAGAAATAATATTCTTTATAACTAACTTAACTTAAATTATTAAGGAATTTAATAAATACCCTCTATATCTATATATACTATCTAAGAATAAAATAATAGTAATATAGATATAGACTTATAGATATAATCTATAGCTATATACTTAAGAAAATATAAAGGTTTAATAAGATATAATTATTAGAATAAGAGAGTTTTTCTCTCTTAGATTTCTTCTTATATAGTAGCTTAGACTAGAGAAGATATAGATCTATAGAGTACTACTCTATCTA